GCACCCGGTGTGGTCTTCTGCTGCTGTAGCCCATCTGCCTCAAGGTTAAATGCGTTGCAAGTTACTTAAGTTACTGTTGCCTTTCTATCAGCCCAAACCATCAACAAGGCATTTGCGCCCACAAAACTGCATTCTACTGGATATTTTCTCTTTTTCTGACCATTCTCTGTAAACCCTAGAGATGGTTGTGCGTGAAAATCCTAGTAAATCAGCAGTTTCTGAAATACGCATATCAGACCATCTGGTACCAACAACCATGCCACGTTTAAAGTCACTTAAATCAACTTTCTTTCTTATTTTGATGCTCGACAGCAGATCATCTTGACCATGTCTGCATGCCTAAATGCATTGAGTTGCTGCCATGTGATTGGCTGATTAGAAATTTGCATGAACGAACAGTTTGACGTAGACCTAATAAAGTGGCCAGTGAGTGAACAACCTTATGAAACTTGGAATGGCATGTCACACAAATTTGATGTCAATCTTGTGAAGGTTATTTAGACATTTATAAAGCTAAAGACATCAACAATTAGAGGAAAATTTATTAAACAGTCTCCAATAGTGAAAATGTTTAGAGAAACATATATTATTTCGTAAAAAGCTAATAAGCTGTGGACACCGAGTGACATGCCAAAGCTAAACCTAGTGACAAGTAACAAGTTTTTTTATACTGACATCTATCCACAGCTTAAACCGATTGCATTTACACACACACACACACACACACACACACACACACACACACACACACACACACACACACACACACACACACACACACACACACACATGAACGTGCAAGCACACGCACACTTTTTTAAGACTGACTTTTCACATTGCAATAAATTACAAAACATTAACATCTTTCTATATTTCAAAATGATCACTAATAAGTTCAGCTGCATTATAGACACTCTACTATATTAATTATGCACGCTCACTTTAGACACATACACACAAAGAGTTTTGGTAAATCTTTGGTAGGGTCACAATTCACACTATTAACAAATCAATAACGAAGACCACTAGCTCAACAAACTACTAATTAGCTGCTTATTAATTGTTTTGGGTAGGATTAGGAATGTAAAATAAGATTATACCTAACAACTACTGATAAACAGTCAACATCTTAATAATAGGCAGGAAATGATCCAGTAGATAATAGCATGAGTTGTGACAAACTAAAGTATTACCAAGGTGTTTTTTTTTTCTTTTCTTTTTTTTCTGTAGTTTCTATGTCAGGATTCCTACTCCAAGTCAAAAATGAAATTCCATAACTTGCACTTACTAAAAAGCAGAATTTTCATGACATCTACTGAAAATCTGTGCTTTGCATAATATTAGTGTTAGCTTGAATATCATTTTGCAGCATTTTAACAGTCTCTATGAGAACAACAATGCATAATTTACCTCAGATTAAAAAACAAACATCTGAGATACCTACTGCTTGTGTGGTTGTGAAGTGCTTCCTCATCCATATTTGATAGATTAATAGCACTTTTATTTTTTTTCTGTAGTCTACTTCAACACTCGGTCTTTGAGGAGGTTATTTTGAAGCCAAAACTCCTAATATTCATACACACATGCAAGCACGCACGCATGCACGCGATTTGAGTTTTCAGCATTAATTTATGAGACAGACTTGAATGAGGTGCAACTTCATTAATATGCAGAATTAATAAGAAGAATTGTTCAGAGACATGGATCGCCAGTGTTGTGTTTGTAAATGTGTCACAACGAAAGTTTTGTTTTTATTTTTCCCACGATGAGAGCGCTTATCGCGTGTGGACGTGTGGATTACAGTGGTTTGCTAACATGTGACAAAAATATGTTTGTAAGGATAAATGTTTGTAAAGGACAAAATATGTTTGTAACATTTTTATCTGAGAGCTTTTCACATCTGGAAATGGTGAAATTCGGATTTGCCACTCGTCTTCTTTTAAAAAAAAAGACACGCGGTTCCAGTTCGTGTTGATTGTTCTGTCTCTACAACATTGGTAAGAGTGTGATCAATGTTCTTTGTTTATGATTGCAAAGTTAGTTAGTACGCCAGCAGTACTCTTTCAGTTTTTAAAGACATACCTTAGTCAAAATGATCTAGTTACCAAGTTTACAGTACGTTAATATCACTACAATATTATGGACTGAAAGATCTGTAAATGCTGCTCTCCGAATGTAAACATGTAAACACCTTAATCAAACTATTACCGTTGTGTAGGATTTGAACCATATTTTGTGACAGGATGGATAATAAACACACGGCTGTTTGACGCTATTCTCTGCACCTACCAAGAAATGCAGAGAGTTTTTTTTCTCCCATACGGCGTGCGGTATCAAAAATTTCATTAAAACTACACTCGCATCCAATATCTTGATTGTCAAATGGGACATGTAAGAAATGTTCCTGAATGAAAGTGAGAAACAAACTGCAGTTAAAGTTGACAAATTAAGAATGAAACATCCGAAATTACATGAAACTCCAGAAGAAAAGTGGATAGCGTGGTGATGCGATGACATTAATCGTATTGCTATAACATATAAAACGGCATCACGAAAGAAACAAGCAACTCATGTAAACACCTTAATCATATTATTGTCTTATTCAGATTAAGGGAAATTGTTTGATTACTGATGTCCATGTAAATGTAGTCAATATCTGTTATATATCTTTAAACATTTCATTATATTGCTAAAATTCCATGACCTGTGGGAACCCTCCACCTAAACTGAACTGACTCAATACTGTACAAAGACTGTCCCTGCTACAAAAAAAAAAAAAAAAAGAGAATCAGCACTTTCACTATCTCTAGATGACACCGACTTAATTCCAGTCAGAGGTCATCCTCATTCCATTCCATAAAGAAATCTTTTTTTCTTCTTAACTAGCTCCCGAAGAATGGATGAAAGAGACAGAGTCTTAACAGGCCCTCGTGCTATTATTACCATCAGTACCTGAAAGAGATGAGGACAGGAGAAATGAGCATGCAAATGGAAAAATCGCTTCAATCAGCTGCCCCCTTTGCATTTCAATGCACGGGCAGATGCTTTAATGAAATGCTTTCTCTTATTCTCTCTCTCGTAGCGACCTCCAGCCTCCCTCGACTACGCATCTTTCTGAGGTTATGAAAGGTGTTGGCCTTACGCTTGAACAGCTCCTCTCGAGCGAACACTTCTGCGTGACATTTCCCAGAGGCTAGGAGGCGGTGATGCAAGCATATTTAATTACAGCACCCCAATCAAAACTGTTAATTATCTAATTCTAATACGACCCCGGGGAAGCAAAAACCAGCAATTTTTGCATCGCCTCAGTCACTCTGAAAACCATCATATTCCCGTTTCAGAAACAGCTCTATTACAACCAAAATAACATTTAAGTGAATTAAAGAGAGACGAGCGCTAAAGGGATCCGACTGAGAGGAATAAAGAGCTCAATAACTACACACCAAAATATGAAATTGCCTTCAGCTCCATTAATTGAATTACAGCATTAGGAATGAAAGAGCTGTGTGATAAATAAGCTGCTGATTGACAATCAATCTGAGTTGAAATTTAAAAAAAAAAAAAACATTCCATTACAGGATTGAGGTCAAGTTAGTTAATATTCAGCTGACAAGATCTGAGAATGTTGAATAGGATGAATTAAGTTCTGCTCTGGAAATTCAGCAGGAAAAAAATCTGCTTTAGGCTGCTCTGTATTAAAGGGATCGTTCACCCAAAAATGAAAATTCTGTCATAATTTGCTCAAAACTTTAATTGAGTTTCTGCCTTTTGTTAAATACAGAAGATGATATATTGACAAATGATGGATGCTTGGACCAATTAAAGTACACTGCATTGTTCCTACAATAAAAGTGGATGGGTGCCCTCAATAAGCATTCGTCAAAATGTCTTCGAATTCAACAAAAGAAAGAAATGCATAAACAGTTAAAACCACATGAGGGAGAATAAACAGTGAGGTAATTTTATTTTAATCTTAAAACTCAAAGAAATAGTTTTGTCCTTTTATGAGCCATAAATCTTATATGAAGTAGTAACTAACTAAATAATTTTAAAAAAGCATGAAGGATATCTATATACCATTTTGTGTTTACTTATGCCAAGTTCAGACTGCCTGATTTTAGCCGCGATTTTGGCTTGCCGACAGGTTTTGAGAAATGGCCGACAAATTCCTGAAATCACAGGCAAATCGGTGCTCGTGCACGTGAGTGACAATCACATAGTATGAACTATCAAAGACGCGATCTGAGAGAATCGCCGATGCCTGTGATGATTGGAAGCTGCGCCAGAGATGGCAATTTTCCATTGCAATGAAATGATTATTTACATTAAAATGTTTGTTTACAGAAGACCCAAGAAATGCACTGTTCAAAATATTATTTACAGGATACACAAGAGTTTTTTATTTAGAAGAGAAACTACTTTTACTAATTTTTATATGAAAAACATAAAAATCATTCATTTGGTTTCCAGAAGTGAAGTTATTTATTATTCCCTTTTTATAAGAAAAAGTGACCGTTTTAGTCAATGTGTGTTTTAGTTTCAGTTTTTCAACGTTGAAGTTCAATAAATAATCATAGATAATAGATGGTGTTTGTTTCTTTTATTTTAAAGTCAAATAATGCACCCTTCAATCAAAAATCTCTCACTTGTAATATGTTAGCATATTTTAAAACTTATAAGTGAATAATAAGGGCAAAATATAATCGTTAATTAATTGTAATCGAGTTAAAATGTTCAATTAATCGAGATTTTGATTTTAGGCCAAATTGCCCAGCCTTAATAGTGAGTTAATAAGGACAAATAAAGACAAATTGAGCAATAAAAAAATTGCAACAGATTCAGGTCAAGAATTATTTAAAGCTGGAGGAAGAATTCAACTCAAAGTCTGAACTGCCTTTCAAGGCATATGACAGTTAAATTGGCACTGGCTCTCAGCTTGATCTACAATTAAAAAAAAAGAAAAAAACTAAGACATTCAAAGAAAAAGTAATTCCACCTACCAAGTAGAGGAGACATATTCTGGAAGATCCTCAGAAGTTCTGGAGTGATAGCAGGGCTGTTCTCTAAAGTCACCAACCTGCACAAAGAGAAAGATCAAGCCATTTAAACAGCTTTTCTATAGAATGCAATACCATTTCACATTCAAAGATGTGGCTTGATCATCATGACACGAAAAGACAGGGACAAAAAAAAAGTCCTTCAAATAATAGTAACATTACAATGAAAGAACTGTGCTTTTAGTGTCCATGGAAACACTACAGCAGCATCAATTCATAAAAAAGGGCGACTGCAAGCTGAACATCTTTAAACAAAATAGGCAATCTTTCATAAAAGCATTCCAGAAAATGAATGGATGCCGCTAAATTTGTTGAAGTGCTGCTATTTTTGATCCAGAGGCTACAGAGGAGTCCTTGTGCGGGTCGGGTTATTGTACAGAGCGACTCTCTTTGTCTTGATACAAGAGAGATAGAGTGACTCAGAGAAAATGATAAATGGACAGCAGGGAAGAACGACACAGCGCGAGAGCAAGTCTAAAGCCTCAGACCAAAATTGATGGAAATAAACCATCTTCAAAGAGATGATCCAAGAGAATTGAAAATGTGATGGGCGATTTATTCAAAAAAAGTAATCCATTGCTCACTACATTATTAAAATTGTATTTTAATTACTTTGTCTAAACATTAACTTAATCATCGATTGACTTAATACTACTTAAAATTGATATAAATCTCAATGCATAGACAACAGGACTTATACTCTTTTATTACTTTAAATTGGGGTCAGACAGGACCTTTTAGTTTTATTTTTAAACAATTATCACTTAAAAAAGTTAAACATTATATGTATTCAAATTAACGTCATTACATTTGATACTACACTACCTGACAAAAGTCTTGTTGTCTATGCCAGTTGTAAGAGCAACAAATAATAACTTGATTTCTAGTTGATCATTTGGAAACGTGGCAAAAGGTAGATTTTTCTGATGAATCCTCTGTTGAACTGCATCCCAATCATCACAAATACTGCAGAAGACCTATGGGAACCCACATGGACCCAAGATTCTCATAGAAATCAGTCAAGTTGGGGAAGGACAAATCATGGTTTGGGGTTAAAGAGGCACGAGAGATTTGCAGAGTGAATGGCAACATCAACATCCTGAGGTATCAAGACAGTTGTGCTGCCCATTACATTACAAACCACAAGAGAGGGCAAATTTTTCAGCATGATATCGCTACTTCTCATACTTCAGCCTGCACATCTAGTTCCTAAAAGCAAAGAAGGTCAAAATGCTCCAGGATTGTCCAGCCCAGTTACCAGATATTAACATTATTGAGCATCTCTGGGGTAAGATTGAGGAGGAGACATTGAAGATGAATCCAAATAATATTGATGAACTCTGGAAGTCCTGCAAGAATGCTTTCTTTGCCATTCCAGATTACTTTTTTAGTAAGTTATCAGAGTCATGGCAGAGATGTATGGATGCAGTCCTCCAAGCTTTATATTCTATACTTTACTTTATTTCTGTTACGTGACAACACTTTTGTCTAAGCAAAAAAATAAATAAATTTAAAAAAATCAAGGCATGATCGTGTTTAATTTTGGTAAAATAAGCGTGATCTAGAGGCCTTTGTCTTTCATATAAACTACTTCTGAAACCAAATGCTCAACTATAAGTCAAGTTATTATTTGGTATTTCTAAAACTTGGACAGGCGACAAGACTTTTGTCGGGTATTGTATATATAATTTTTCATTTCTTAAGCTTATGCAGCTGTTGGACATCTCTAACATTATAGTCGAAAACTTGGGTGTCATACAAAATATCTGCATATTAACAAAAATAAAATTGTATCCTTATAAACATACAAGATATTGTCATAAATTAATTACTCATTCAATTTATTTAGGTGCAGTGGTCTTGATAAATGTAACCTTCTACAAAAATATAACAATATACCAAAAAATATATATGAGGCAGAAACATAATATATGTAGCTGAGTGTAATTTATTTATCTTATAACAGTTCTTTACTTTAACAGAAAACTAATTTAATTAGCAACTTGTTACTAATTACACCCGACACCAGTGCATCGATGACATCGCTTGGAACCAAATCCACTGTAAATACTAAGCAGGGTTGAGCTTATTATCAAGGACAATATTGATCGAAATGTAGGACACAAAGTTCAAATGCAGCGCTGAAGATAAATTAATTTATGCATAAGATTTCTCCTGATGCAGCATTTTCTTGTTGCTTGACAGAATGGGTAAGTGTAAAGCAGGGCACTTATATAAAAAAGCTTGGTTTCTCTGAGACGCGACACCCAATGATTCATGCTATCATTCGCATCTGGACAGGCAATTTGTCACACAAATCTTTTAAGGATTACGTGTGTCATTGGCTGACAGGACAAAGCATCCGGCAGGAGGGAAAAAGCCACTAACTGGGAACCCATTTAGAGGGAGGGCAGTTAATATCACTGAAATGCTTTAGCTCTGTTCCTCAGGTTAAGAATTACATGAAAAGAGACAACAAAAGACTTGAAATGTTCTCAGCCATGCCGCTGAAAGGTCAATGAATAGGGTAGCTCTTAATCCGTTTGAAAAACACGCTTATTTGTTCAAATTAAACTATCAGGAGATGAAAAAAAATTTTTTTCATGTGTATAAATCTTAGGTTAGATGCCATTTTGAACTGAATGCAGGTGAAATCAAGGCACTGAGGTGTAGACTTTGCAAAGGAACATACTGTACACAAAAGACATTGATCACAACTCTCAACTATCAAAAACCTTTGTGGAGTTTTCATTTGCTGAAAGGTATTTTCACATAATGTATATGTTGTTTTTAAAGAGTACAATCCATTGAATGCACAACTTGTGTCTCAGCATTGTCTTACTTTTGTTCCTGAAAATTAATATATTGACACTACCCTGACTAAACAGAATTTTAAATGTCTTAAAAATCCAAATTCACTCTAGAATGTGAATAAAGGTAGCAAAGAAAAGACAGCATAGCAAAATGTTATTTATTAAAAAAATATATTCTGTAACATCTCGTCTTTATAAGGATTGCTTTAATAAAAATGTCTTTAGTATGGATACAGTATGTGCCATGAATAAAATCTATTAAGACCATGGCCCAGACAATAAAAACGTAAATTCAAAATAATGATATAAAATCTATAAATCAAACGTCCTGCTGAAAAATAGGTTATAGACAAACAATAACGTTATTATGATCAATAAGATTAAACTCGTTTGATTGCTCAATTAATTTTTTCTGTCAATACAGACATTAGTAAGCACATATATAAAATTACAACCATAAATATGTTTGTTAGCAATGCAAGTGTTTGTTTTTTTGTGCTAAATGCCATACAGCTTAATCATATGCAAATCTGGATGCTTACCAGTAAGTGTACATTTATTATTGTATTATAACTGCATTATATTCTTTTGGATATAGTAATGTAGATTTAGTCACTGTTGTTGCAGAGTAAATTTCATCCATAATATTTCCCTTTTAAAGCATTATAACTGACATTGGTTTATTGTCCATCACAACTGCTAGTATATTTTTAATATCAAATGTTCAATGAAATTGTCAACTGTTTTTTCTCTTGTTTTTTTCTCTTGTGTCAAATCTCTGCAGGTTTCATTTCTCTAAACCAAAGAAATGAAAGCATGCAAGCGCCGAGGTAAAATAAGAAATATTACTCTCTGCGGTGTGAGAGACTGTTTAATCATTAATTTAATCATAACTAACATTCAGGTTTCTTGTAGATTTGACATTTTTGTGCTGCAGAAAACTAAATGTAACGTGCATTTAAACAGCACATATATTGTGTATTTCATACACCCAAAGTACATCACAATCATGGTGGTGGTGGGGGTTGGGTTCTCTCCACACTACCACCAGTGTGCAGCATCCACTTGGACAATGCGATGGCAGCCACAGCACAACGGTGCCAATGCTTTCACCACACACTAGGTGGAGTGGAGAGACAGTGATAGAGCCAATTTGGTGAATGGGGATTATTAGGAGGCCATGATGGATTAGGGCCGATGGAGGGAAATGGTTTAAATGTTTCTAACTTACCAAATCCAAGTTGGCGTCTTATAGGAAAAGGAATATAGACTAGACAGCTGTCTAGAAACATATGCTCTCATGATTTAAATATCTAAACAAATCCTATTTTTTTTACTTACTAACAAAGGGTTAAACATATGAAAAACCAACCTTGTAGAATAAAAGCCATGCCATGAAAGTGCTGTAAATTACCCACATAGGCTCATATAGACTGTCTGATTGGACAGATCCTCCCAGTCGTGATTAAAGCATATTCAAAAACATTGTCTGAAGTCCATCTATTGCTGGGCAGCAAGAGAGGAACACTAGAGATGCAATTATTCAAGTGATAGCATTCAAAAAAGATGAGATGTTGACCATCTCAGCCAGAGCCATCTGAAGAGTGGGGAGCATAATTATTTCTGTTAGGTAAAAATGAACAAGTTCCGTATATTGTGTTGTGTGGTGCTGACCTTCAAACTTTTCATTTAGTGAAGAAGATTGGCCGTAGGCTCACTTTAAAAATAGCTCACACAAAAATGAAAATTTGTTATCAATGATTCACCCTTATGGTATTCCATACCCCTAATACTTTTATTCATCTTTAAAACACAATTTAAGATGTTTTAGATGAAATCAGAGAGCTCTCTCATCCTCCATAGACAACAACAGACTCAAGACATTCAAAGTTTATTCCATGTGATTTCAGTGGTTTAACTGTAAACATAGACAGCACCAAAAACACTTTTGTGTGCCGTAAAAATTGTAAAAGCAACTTTGCTCACCAAAGTATTCTGCTTCAGGTCAGGATAAACATTTACTGCCAACAATAGTATTCTTGCATGTCAACTCTAATGGCAATATGTACATTTGGGACTGTTGCTGTATATGGAAGATGTGAGAACATTCAGACTTCATCTAAAATATCTGAATTTGCATTCTGAAGATGAACAGGTGAATTATAACGACATAAAGATAAGTAATTAATAACTAATAAATAACCCTTTAACTTGAGTCAGGAACGTAGGTTAAAAATGCACCACAGCTTAAAAAAAAAGGTATTTAATATGTAACAATAACATGTATATCTTTGTAAAAAGTATTATAAATTCTAATATATATATAATTACTGTAGCAGCATCAGCTCCCATGCCAGTTTGTGTGCTTGAAAATTGTATTTATGTGTCATAAGAGACATGCAGAGACTGTGGATTAATGGTATCAATTCAAAACTAACCATTAACCATTGGTTTTGCTAGCTTTTTTTGTTTGGTGAACATTTCATCTGTGCCTGTCATTTAGAAAAAAAAAAAAAAAAAAAAGTTTGATCTGAAAATCTACTTAAAATCTTTGATGTTGTTTGTCTGAGGTATAGGGTTAAGTATTATATAACCACAACCTTCCAACTGTGAGTTAAAACAGCACAATGAAAGCAAACAGGAATGGTGAGGAGGAGGTGTCTTTTAGGTTGTAAAAACTTCTAAAACTTTTTCCTGATCTTTCTAAATAAAAAGGCTACTTTACTACATCAAATCTGCTTGCAATAGAATAAACAAGCCATGCCTATACTGTTTTCTCATTTAATAGTCTGTATCGCTAGAAACCGAGTCACAATATATATATATATATATATATATATATATATATATATATATATATATATATATATATATATATATATATATATATATATACCTAAATGGCAGCTTTGGGTTCATGTGGACTTTAGTGTTGCAAGTAATTTTTATGTTTAACTTTAATGCATCACCGGGAGCGACATATTTGAATTTTTTGTGACTGTATTTTTTATTATTATTATTATTTTTTTTTTTTTTTTTACTCTAAAAGTGCTTGCAGCCATTGACAAATAATTTAATTTGATAAATCACCAGGAACCACAGTTTTTAGATTAAAAAATAATAATTTTTAAAACACTACTGAAAAACACATCTTGAATGGCCTCAGGTTGAGTAAATTATCAGTAAACTGTTACATATAGGTGGACTATTTTTTTTAACACAACCACACTGAATATTAACTTTCTAACCACAGCGTATATTTTATCAAATTTAGGAAATATCTGCAGATCGAAAAAGAAGTACACTTTATTTAAATGGAGGTACACACCAATTCTAATTTCAGTGCAGTCTTGCTAATTTAATTCTAAATCTGATTTTACATTATAAACAAATCACAATTTACTTTGCACATCCCAAAACGGATTGAGTGAGCATTAGCATATTCACATTGGCTGATGGAGGAATGCTCTGGCCATCTATTGTACATCACCATGTGACTTTCTTTCCCTAACTGTGAAGTTCAAGCTCGCACTTTGAAGACAGAAAGCTGGAAATGTGTCCTCTCCTTATGTTCACCACAGTGTCCAGATGCAGAGCTGAACTCATGTGGTGCACGAAACAGCATAAGAGCCGGAGGAGGGAATGTGCCACTTTATTCTGTGCTGCCCTCACCATCAGCACTGCTGAGTGCCATGCAGAACAGAGGTGACAAAGTCACATGACTTGTATGTGGTATTTGGAGCATTTTATGACAACTTGTTATGCACCATGGTGCGTGAAGTGTGATGTCAAATGCATGAGGGCTCTTTAGGGCAATGATGAATTGAAGACGTATATATTTAAGACTTTGTGTCGTAACATTACCTCTGATCAAAGTGAGATTATATTTACTTTCTAAATTTTACATTCGAAAAATATGTGCATGTGGCAGCACGGTGACTCAGTGGTTAGCACGGTCACCTCACAGCAAGAAGGTCACTGGTTTGAGTCCCAGCTGGGTCAGTTGGCATTTCTGTGTGGAGTTTGTATGTTCTCCCCATGTTCGCGTGAGTTTTCTTCGGGTGCTCTGGTTTCCCCCACAGTCCAAAGACATGCACTATAGGTGAACTGAAAAAACTTAATTGGCTGTAGTGTATAAGTGTATAAGTATCCACTTTTCTCAATGGATACACATTTATATTTTGCAAAGGTTTTTTATTATTTAATAGTTTTATTAACAATTTCTTTTTTATTTTATTCTTACACCTTCAAATTCATTCTAAAAAACATTTAAATTCAAATGAGGTGCTGCAAACAAACAAACAAATAAAATTTTGATTCAACTTTATATTATGTATGGCCTCCTTGATGTTTCCTGTTTATTACAATTTTTATTTAACATTTACTTCTAGCATATTTACTGTGATGTACTCGTTTTTTTACACTATGATCTTAAATAATGTAATTAAAATGATTGATTAGTTTCAATTTTGGCATTGCATTGGTACTGAAAATTAATCTAAAGTAAAACCAACCAATAAGCCAGATTTGCACTAATACCTAATTTCAAATAGGATGTCTTAAAAAGTATCCATTCTGAAGCGAAATTTCTTTGGTTTTCAGATGAATTTGTTATACTGTAGAAATTCTGGGTTTCACACAATCGATGTGTATTGGAACAACATGAAAGAACTAGGTCAACTTATTTGTTGTTACAAATTTAAGATGATTGAACATAAAACAACTAGGTTGACCTTTAAAAAAACCCAAACATTGCGTTGTTTCAGCTAATTTTATACAAGGTATTTGAACAAACACCAAATGTAATTGTTTTTGAGTGTAAAATGCAGTAATTTATGCTGGGCTGGCCATTGTATATATACCAGAGATGAAAATGTGAGAGTAAAGTACAGTTTAGTATAGTATAGTTAAGTATAGTATAGTATAGTATAGTATAGTATAGTATAGTAGTACACTCAAAATACATATACATTTTTTGCTCATTCAAGCTACTTATTAAAAATGAGCTGAAACAACACAATTCTTCAGATTTCATTGGGGTAACTTTTTTATGTTCAATCCACATACATTAGTTAAAAATGTTCGGTTAACTTAGTCAATTTGTGTTTGGACAATAAGAGTGAATTGTGTGGAACCCTGCATTTTCTACATTGTAAGTGCATATGCTGAAAACTGGCAATGACGAATATAGAGAATATGAATGGAGAATATGAACACTACCAGTTATGTTTGTACAGTGAACAGATCTATTCAATGTCAACAAAGGCTTGTGTATTGATCTATGGCAGCCCATGTGGCTCTAACTCCCTCAAAGTTTTCAAAATTGGATTTTTATAACTTTTGACCTATTTGGCTTACAAACAAAATGCTTTCTGTTCTCGACCTCAGTTGACTGAATGGGGTGTTTTCCATGTCTACTAAATCGATCGTGCAATATTGTGAACTATATTGCTAACTGTTACCTTTTTTTTTATTGTTACTACCTGTTTCTGAGACAAACAGATATGAGACTGACTCTTGGTATTGCTTTGAGATGTTGGTTTAACCCTTACACTGTGCTCAAAATTCAAGAAATGGCTCACTTCCATTGACTGGTACGGGTCTGTACGGGTCACCTTTAAATTTTGAAATGTGTGTAGCATGTACATGGCATATTTCATTCCTCCGCGTACCACTAGAAGGAAGCCTGCGTACCACTAGTGGTACACAAACCACAGTTTGAGAACCGCTGGATTAGAGTATAGGATTTTAAAATGGTATTTTACCTCTCTTTTTAAATGCTGCTCCTTGTTTAACCCTTTTTAAATACTGATTTTGTGCGTTTTGTCAAAGTTCAAATGAAGGTATAGCATGGAACTACATTTCCAGTACAATTATAATAATTCAAATTGTTATGTTCTAAATTATTTTAGATAAAAAAATCATCCAAATACAAACATATTAAACCACTAAAGGCTAATTGATATGACATAATACACTTTTTTGTGTTCAGTGCAGCTGCCATGAACCCTAGAATAAGCATGTAAATCAAAAACATCACAAACATAATAGAAATTTAGATTTTAGATTCTGATTCTATTTCTATACTCATTCTATCCTAAATAATTTTAAAAAGCATAAGGTTAACTTGTTTTCCAACTCAAAAATTAAAACATAACATGAGGGTTAAGGTGCAATAATGCCATACAAAAAAATAAACAAATAAATACAACTAACAATCTCTTTTGTTGGAGAAAACTATGTGTAAATACAATGTATTTCCTGAAGATGTGGTTCTCAACCTGTTTCAACCCCCTATAAAGAATTTTACAGGGCTACTAGCAATATCGTTTAACTTTAAATGTCATTCAATGGATTCAAAGCAGTTTTTGCTGTGGTAGAAAAACAGATTCATAGCCAAATATATGAGAGTGGAGTAAAAACATCTAAAATGTCTTATAGTTGTAGATAGCAGCCTTTGAAGAAGATGTTGTGTTGCACCTTTACAAGCTGCTATTAAGCACTTAAAGTGGTTCCTGTATTATCACAAGCCAATGAACAACTTTTTGTGCTTTTTAGCACCTTTTTTTAGTGTAACGCTCTGTTCAAAACTTGGTAAGATCGATACATACCATATCCTGAGAGTTTGAGCTGCGAGAGAGCAAACTATTGATCGCTTAGGCTGCGTTTACACTGGCAGAATAAAATTGGATTTTGTGCCAACATCTAACACAGATAAGAACTTAATACATGTGCAAACAAAAATCTGCATGTAGATCATCCACTCAACACATATAAAATTAAAAATGTGTTTAAACAATATTTAAAAAATCTGATACACAACCCCATCAAAAACAAAAGACATACAAAAAACACTTCTTTTTGTAAAAACAAAAACATTTTCAATAATTTATAAAAGTAGCCAGGTCATCTGTTACAGCTCTACCAACTGTCAAACAATGTCATGAATTGTATGGTATGGTTCTTTTTCTATGCTACTGAATGCATACTGCCAAACACCTTCCTTTCACAAAACAACGGGAAAATAACTAAAATCAATTCCGATTTAGTCCAAAAATGACATTTCAAGCATTAAACAATACATCTCTAAGCTTATTAAATCAGTCAGGTTTGTTCTGATTTTGATCAGACCTTGAGATATCTGAAACTTGTATTCCTAGTTTAAAACTTCTGGCTTAGAAACACGCTTGGAGACTTACCAGAGCTCCAACCCATCTTCCAGCAGGTAAACATGAGGGGGCTGAGAAACATCTGTGCTGAGCTGGATAACAGGCAGGAGGAAGGGATACAGATTCTTGCTTTCTGCTCCCAGGCCCTGGACAACACACACACACACACACACAAAGCATTTTTTTCAACCCATAAGACTAGCACAAGCGATAACAGGTCACTCAACTTCACATGATGAAATCAAACAGAATTGAGCTTCTCCAACAAGTGTTTTTTAAAAAAAACCTGTGTTATACATTCCAAACAATACAACAGGTTGCACAATGAAAAACAGATATAAATACATGCTCTCGTGTGATCTGAAATAAAGCTTGATAAGATCGACATGTACCATATCCTGGGAGTCTCTTATGCAGTTGAGCAACAAGAGAGCAACTGGTTTGGCACACAAATATCTATGAAAATCCTCCATTCAAAAATATATCAATTATTTAGAATGTTTATCATTTGCAAAATAATTAAATGACAAAAAAATAAGGCAGGACTATAATAGTGACTGCAAAGCAAAACATAACAACAAGAACAATCAAAACATAACACAATACCTGAAACACAGAAATAAAAAAGAAATAATTTAATTAATAATAGATATGTATCAAAACATACATTAATTATAAATTAAAATAATATATACTAAAATTAGGAAGCCCAACAATGACCGCAGAACAAAACCCAATATACTACAAAATAAATAAATAAACAAACAAATAAATAAATAAATATATAGATAAATAAATAAATAAAAACAAATAATAAATTTAAATAATATGTTTTATAAGTGTATAAAACTTTTATTAATGCATAAGTTTTACAAAATATTTTCGAAAGGAGCAGCGGCTGGTTTCCCATAATTAACAATAATCCAATAAGATTGATCCAAGCCTACAATAAATAGACTTATTTAACCCTACTCCCTTATTTTCAGTTTGGAAGAATCCTCCATTCACTTATTTTACCAGGCAGAGCTCTTGAGACCTACCTGATCTCGAACCCCCTTACTGGCTAATTGACCAAGCGTTCGCGTGGGTTTCCTAAGGGTGCTCTGGTTTTCCCCACAGTCCAAAGACAAGAGGTACAGGTGAATTGGATAGGCTAAATTATCCGTAGTGTATGTGTGTGAATGTGTGCATGTATGTTTCCCAGAGATGGGTTGCAGTTGGAAGGGTATGCGCTGCATAAAATATATGCTAAATAAGTTTTGAGCTATTTTGGTCCTTTTAGGAAGTTTGCAGTGTGAAAGTGAACCGCTACAAGAACAAAGAGCAACATTGTAACTATTTTATTCCCTGTTTCAGAATAAATGAACTGATTAACAAGTGTGGAAGCACCCTAAAAGATCCCGTATTTGCCTAATCATCTTAGATCATTTAAGCGAGGTACAAAAAATGGACCCCAGGACACAAAAAAAAAACAAAAAAAACGCAAGACTCAAGCAAAAAGAACAAAATGAAAACAAAAATGATACAAAAAAACCCTACAAAATACATAAAACTAAATCACAACAAAACATGAATCACAAACAAAAAAGCAGCAAAAAAAACAACTAAAGCTGAAATACAAAAACAAACACAAAACAAACCAAAAAAAAAAAAAACATAAATTACAACACAACACTACATCAGCTAACACACTGAAAATGCAGACATAAATGTGATAACAGGCTTTCAGGAGAGGGAATGCAGCCAAAATGAGTTTCATTCCAGCACAAAAAAACACATTTTCTGTCTGAATAGCGGCAGGTGTGATATTGTGTCAGCCCTCCGTACGCTGTAGTAAGGGAATCACAAGACTCTGCCATTGAGCATGAGTTTTCTAGGTTCATTTAAAGGCCTGTGTTGTCGAGAGCAGCTACGCTCTTTCCCCCTGGGTGAAATACATGCACTCAGCCTCTGACTGATGAGGGCTCATCACAAAGACCACCGCAAAGGGCTCTTCAGTTCAGGGCAGGACTGCGTTCGACAGGCTGCTGATTCTGAGCTGTCCATCACAATGGCAGATGGAGAGCTCTGGGGGCTCAGAGAGGGTAGAGATGCAGCATCCGCAGGATCCAGGTGAAGCTCTGCTACTGTCAACACATCAGCCATGAAGAACAACAAACAGAAACCAAGGACACACACACTGTACACACAAGAAGACATAACTTGGCAGGTAAGACCATGCGGTGTTGAGCAATGGTAGAGGAAGATTTAGTGAAACAATGACTTTTGTCATGCGTCTGAGTGTTTAATTGAGTTTGTCCTGAGAAATCAGGAAAAATGAGTCAGATTAAACAGGGATGTGTCTAATGCCTAGTTCACACTAGAGGATTTTAAGCCTGATTTGAGCCCGATTTGGTAGTTAACGAGCTCGCCGACAGATCGGGCTGTGATCGGGAAGAAATCTGCGGGTGCTCGGCGCTCGCCGCTTTTTATGTGTGAACTACTGAGCAACGCATCAACGAGGCTCGCTGACTCGTCGCCGACACCTCGCAGACGGAAATCCAACATTCAGCATGCTAAATATTCCAGAGCAGTCGGCCAACTCAACCCCACGTGTGGTCAGATGTAGTGACATCAATGAGAGAGCATATCAGCATGAGCTGAATGGCTGTGTGTTCAGGAGCTCAGCAGAAACATCTGTGATTGGTCAGAATGGGCATCAGTGCACTCACTTCATTCTGCGTTAGCACAGACATGAGAGTAGGCTATATTAACAGTGGAACTAGAATTCTGTAACTATTAGAATTACCATACTGCTCATTCTGATCGTTCTCATATGAAACGCCATATTGTCACAACATATTTACATTCAAAGCTATTATTGAGATATTAAAATTAAGCTTTGAATGTCTGGCATCATATTTAATGACACCATTACCCTAAAAATATAATATTTTTTTGGTAATACAGCCTATAAATATGTAGTTAAGATACTAAAACACTTAAAGGCTTGGCTTTCATTTTCACTTTCAAACAGGAGCTATTTCCCGGCACAGAATATGCTGTTTTGAAAGATATCTGAAGTAAATTGATGTTTTTGCCATCAGAAAGTTTTGTTTATGTTAGCAGGAAGTTGCCAGGCAAGAAAATGCACACATATTTAAAGTCACAGCGAAAAGTATCAGACATGCATGCAGTCATTTTGACCAGTATGGTAATTTAAGGCAGAAATGCTCAGTTCTTTACTGTTTTGTAAAAAAAAATAACAATGTCAGAAAAAAATACACTGATAGTTAGAAAACGGCAGGGTGTTATAAATATGTTAGTTTTATTTCAAAGAGTTATAAAATTACAAAAATTAAAAACTCTGTGTGTATCTATCCACTGGAACCTGCAGATGAGTGACTAATCCGTTCATAAATCAGCTGATTTGACGATGTTTTTAAATTAGGGTTGGGCATCTAAGCTATAATGCCGATCCGATACGCATCTCGATACAAAGAATACGATCTGATATATTAGCGATACATTTGTGACATATTGCGATGCAACACGATACGATTCACACCCATATCACGATACAATGCGATAATTCAGCACTAACTAATTAGATCAAGTTTATGAGATTATGTGAAAGAGGATGCTGTGCCATTGAATGAGTTTGATTATTTATAAACCAAGCAAAACCAAGACTTTTTTTTACAAACTGGCTCTTCTCTCAGAGCCAGAGTGTCAGTTTACAGTAGAGGGCCATTTTAGAACATATAGCACATATTATTTAAGTATTTTCAAGAAAAAGAGAATGTATAAGTGCAATATATATTAAAAAAATATGTATATATTTGCACTCTTTCAACATAAATAAATTTAGCATTGCACAACAAGAATTGTGATTTAACTTTTCAACTATGAAAACAAGTTTTACAAAGATATATTTTGCCACTGATTATTCAAAACTTAAGTTTGTGAACTAGCAGTGTTATGCTGCTTTGAAACATCACTGTCACTGTAAACAACAGGCTAATAAAAATATAACAAACCAGCAATCTTCTTGCTGTGAGGTGGTCAAACTACCCACTGTGCCACCGTGACACCCATTATTTTTATCATTATTATTATTAATATTATTATTATTATAATTAAATAAAAATTAACAGGAGGAGGTGTTTAAAACCTTCGTTCTCCGTGACACTAGGCTGAATATCTTTGCAGATGAACAATGCAATAGCATTCGTTATTGGCGTAGAGCGAGCAGAACTGTTGCGCATGGAAAAAAAAACTTGCAATGCTTTTCTCACCACTTTTGGAGCTGGTTGAAGCAGTGCGAAAGCCGGGGATGCAGGAACACTGGAAGATGCTTTCACAACAACACCGTGGCGCTGCTTCAAGTGAGATTTCAGATTAGTCGTACTGCCCGCGTATTTTACAGATGCGCGGCACATTTTGCAAATTGCATCTGTCCTGTCATGTCGTCCATCCTTAAATCCATAATGTTGCTTGCCATACTTTAGATTTAAAACTCAGTGGGGAATAAAATGTTTGTTTTGCTTCTCGCGCTTTCTGAGGGCGCACCACTAGCTTCATCCGCACACCTGATACACTGAGTTGTTGTGTGTGCACATCCGCAAATCCGTTGCTAAGGCTTACTTTATGTAGGTCGATTAAATTATGCGCCAAAAACAGGTTGACAACACTTGTTAATAAATAAAAAATACATTCTATATTAAAAATATAAGCTGTATCTCGGAAAAATCGATGCATCTCGCAAAAACCGATGCATCTCGATTTGCTTCCAAAATTTCATTCATCCTCTGCTGCTCAACCGATGCACTCGCATCGTGCACGCGCATGACCGCGTATCGATACATATCGGTTAATCTTCCCATCCCTATTTTAAATGCTTTCTCCAAAGCTTGAAAAGCTGTCAGTGATGTAATCAGCACACAAGCAGCCAATAGTGTTCAGCTTTTTTCTGACGACTCCTCCCTCAAATTTTCATTGGCTTTGGTTTGGTAGCTTGAATGAGCTGATGGGGAATGAGATGTTGTCAGATCATGTAGTGTGTGACCCCCCTCTTGTGGATCGTTCACGGAGTGTTGCGTAGTGTGAACACCACAGAGATCAAAAGACACAAAGTCAAGTCATGTAATGTGAACAGCACAGCGAT